TGGAATGTTTGTAGTATTATCTGGACATGAGCTTGAACTTGATCCCTGGTGCGGCCGCGCACCAGCCAGTCGTCTAGATACGGGAACACCTGTATCCTTTGCCGATGAAGGTATGCTGCAACGACAGCCGTACATTTTGTGAACACTCTCAGAGCCGCAGACAAGCCAAAGGGAAGGACGGCAAATTGGTAGTGCACATTGTTTACTACAAATCGAAGGAAGCGCCTGTGTGGGAGGTAGATTGCTATATGAAAATACGCGTCCTTCACGTCGAGGGTGGCGTACCAGTCTCCAGGATCCAAGGAGGGAATGATAGTCCCTAAAGAGACCATGTGGAACTTCAACTTTACTATGAATTTGTTGAGTCCGCGTAAGTCTAAAATGGGTCGCAGACCCCCTTTTGCTTTGGGGATCAGGAAGTAGCGGGAGTAAAACCCCCTGCCCCTTAACTCTGGTGGAACCTCCTCTATGGCCCCCATAGAGAGGAGCCCAAAAAACCTCCTGTGTAAGGAGATGCTCGTGAGAAGGATCCCTGAAGAGGGACGGGGTGGGAGGTGGGGGGGGGGGGAAACGAAGAAAACTGGAGAGCGTATCCCCTCTCCACCGTGCGAAGGACCCAACGGTCTGAGGTTATAAGGGACCAAGCACGGTGGAAACGGGAGAGGCGATCCTGAAAGAAAGGAAATGGATCCTGGGTAGTGGCTGGCACGCCGTCCTCGAGCGCACCTTCAAAAATTTTGCCTAGGTCCTGATGGTGGTCTAGGAGTGCCTTGGTTCTGACCGGGTTGGGGGCCGGTTGACCTCCGTCTACCACCTCTGCCCCGCCTTCTGGGGAAGTCCTGTCTTGGATGAGGAGGAGGAGGCTAGAACCTTTGTGGCTGGGGCCTAAAGGGCCTGCGCTGGGGACCTGGGACATGCATCCCCAGGGAGCGCATGATGGTTCTGGAGTCCTTGAGGTTCTGCAACCGAGAGTCCGTCTTGTCCGAGAACAACCCCTGGCCCTCGAACGGCAGATCTTGCAGGGTCTGCTGCAGTTCTGGCAGTAACCCCGAAACCTGGAGCCAGGAGACACGTCTCATGGCTATCCCAGATGCTAGTGTCCTGGCGGCAGAGTCTGCTATGTCCAGGGAGGCCTGCAAGGAGGTCCTAGCCACCTTTTTACCTTCCTCCACTAGGGCCCCAAACTCTTCCCTCGAGTCCTGGGGGACCAGCTCTTTAAATTTACCCATGGAATTCCAGGAGTTGTAATTGTACCGACTCAAGAGCGCCTGTTGGTTCGCGGCTCTGAGCTGCAGACCCCCCGCTGAGTAAACCTTGCGCCCAAACAAATCGAAGCATTTGGCATACTTCAATTTGGGCGTTGCCGCCTGCTGACCATGACGCTCTCTTGCGTTCACTGAGGAGACTACCAGTGAACACGGCAGAGGGTGTGTAGAGAGGTACTCATGGTCTTTAGAGGGGACAAAGTACTTCCTCTCTACACCTCTGGCAGTGGGAGGGATGGAGGCTGGGGTTTGCCATATGGCATTAGCGTTAGCCTGGATCGTACGAATGACGGGCAACGCCACCCTGGTTGGGGCATCAGCTGAGAGGATGCTCACCACTGGGTCCTCCACCTCCACTATCTCCTCAGCCTATAGGTCCATGTTCTGTGCCACCCTATGCAACAAGTCTTGGTGGGCATGGAGGTCTATTGGAGGTGGGCCTGAGGATGTTGTACCCGCCACCGCCTCATCTGGGGAGGATGAGGAGGACGCCTCAGCGGGTAAAGGATCCATATGAGGGTCCGGCTCCAAGGGTCCCTGATGTGCAGGATCCCCTGCACCGGGGTCTGGGGCCTGCGTGGGAGTCAGCACTGGAGTCTCCATGCCTCCTGGGGGAGGACGGGAGATGGTGGCCTCAGGAACCCTGGGCTCAGAGTGTGCCGAGCGAGAGGTCGCTGGTGGAGCCCCTTGAGCTTGATGATATGCCCATGGGGTCCAGAAAGACCAATATGCAGGGTCCTGTCTAGGGTCCTCTGCATCCTCCTGCCAATGACCCAAGTCGTCTGCCGCCTGACCCTGAGCAGGGTATGCTGATCGGGAAGCTCCTTCCGATGAGCGAGACACCGATCTTGAGGGCCAGGGTGGTGCCGAGTGCGGTTGCAGGGGCTCGTCCTGGTACGGTGCCGAGCGGTGCCAGTCCACAGGCGAGCGGTCTCTGCGCGGTGCCGGTGAGCGGTACCGGGATTGAGAACGGTGCCGATGGCCATGGCGGTACCAGGATCCAGATCTGGATTGCGAAGACGAAGACCGTCTGTAGACTCGGTGCTGGGAGCGGCCTTGCAAACAGGAGTGGCGCTCATACCGGTGCCGGGAACTGCGTCTGGACTCCAACCAGTACCGATGCTCAGGTCGGTGCTGAGAAGTAGACTGGTGCCGGGAGGAAGATCTGGGCTTCGAGTACGACCGGCGCCGAGATGAAGATTGGTGCCGGGAGCCCCAGCCATGGAGGAGCCGGCATGGCACAGGGGGTCAGCAGCCCTGCAAAGGCGGCGGCACCGCTATCGGGGAGCAGCCACACACCCCACCCCTCCTACCCAGGCTGTGGCCTGGCGCCCCCCCCCCCCCCCGGGGGGGTCCCTGCAGGCTGCGGCAGATGCATGCGGTCGGCAGCCCCCGTGCGCCCCCCAGCTCCCCCCTCGCCATGCTCGGACTTTGCGGCTCCTGGGCATGTGAGCTGCCGCGGCGCGGGGCCCTGAGCCTGCTCCGGGAGGGGCAGCGGCAGTGGTGGCTCACACTCCCGGGAGCTGCAGAGCCCAAGCGCGGCGAGGGGCAGCCGGGGGGGCCCCATGGGGGGCCGGTGCCCGCATGCATCCGCTGCAGCTTGCAGGAGCCCCCGGCGGGGGCGCCGGGCTGCAGCTTGGGCAGGAGGGGTGGGGGGCATGGCTGCTCCCTGCTAGCCGTGCCACCGCCTTTGCAGGGCTGCTGCTCCCCTGCACCGTGCCGGCTCTGGTGCCTTCGGATGGCAGCTCCTCCCTGCCGAGCTCCTGCAGCGGCCCAAGCCTGGCAAAGCCAGTGAGCGGACTTGGGGCGGGGGCTGCTGGAATGGGGTAGGGAGGGCTCGCGGGGGGCTGTGCACCCTCCAGAGGAGTTCAGGAGGCGGGGAGGGGGGAACCTGGTCTGGGGAGCAGCCCCTGGGCAGGCTGGTCCCTGGGGTCTATAAAGACTCATTGGGATTTGCCCCTCAATGTACCGATGTGCAGGGGGGGAGGGGTGTTGTGTTTCGGGGGGGTTGGGGGGGTGTTTCGGCAGCACGTGGGGGGGGGGGGGTTCGGCCCTCCGCTGTTTTCTTTGGAGCAATATGGCCATCGCCGCTTTATGAGTTGTGCAGGCCTAGACCATCCCTGATAGGTGTTTGTCCAACCTGCTCTTAAAAATCCCCAATGATGGAGATTCCACAACCTCCCTAGGCAATTTATTCCAGTGCTTAATCACTCTGACAGGAAGTTTTTCCTAATGTCCAACCTAAACCGCTTCTTGTTTACAATATCACCTGAAAGTGAGACTAGGCATTCTCATGGCACTGTTGTAGCCAGTGTCGCAAGATATTTACGTGCCAGATGTGGTAAAGATTCATACGTCTCAACATGCTTCGCCCACCATTCCAGAATACATGCTTCCATGCTAATGAACGGTTCTGCTCAATAACAATCCAAAGCAGTGCGGACTGACATTTCGTTATCTGAGTCAGATGCCAACAATAGAAGGTTGATTTTCTTTTTTGGTGGTTCAGGTTTTGTAGTTTCCGCATCGGAGTGTTGCTCTTTTAAGACACCTGAAAACATGCTCCACACCTTGCTCCTCTCAGATTCTGGAAGGTACTTCAGATTCTTAAACCTTGGGTCAAGTGCTGTAGCCATCTTTAGTAATCTCACATAGGTACCTTCTTTGCATTTTGTCAAATTTTCGTAAAAAAGTGTTCTTAAATCGAACAACATGTGCTGGGTCATCATCCAAGACTGCTATAACATGAAATATATGGCAGGGTGCAGGTAAAACAGAGGAGGAGACATACAATTCTCCCCCAAGAAATTCAGTCACAAATTTAATTAATGCATTTTTTTTTAAACGAGTGTCATCGGAATGAAAGCATGTCCTCTGGAATGGTGGCCAAAGCATGAAGGTGCATACAAATGTCGAGCATATCTGGCATGTAATTACCTTGCAATGCCAGCTACAACAGTGCCATGTGAACACCTGTTCTCATTTTCAGGTGACATTGTAAATAAAAAGCAGGCAGCATTATCTCCCGTAAAAGTAAACAAACTTGTTTGTCTTAGCGATTGGCTGAACAAGAAGTAGGACTGAGTGGACTTCTAGGCTCTAAAGTTTTACATTGTTTTGTTTTTGACTGAAGTTATGTAACAACAACAAAAAAAATCTATATTTGTAAGTTGCACTTTTGTGATAGAGATTGCACTATAGTACTTGTATGAGGTGAATTGAAAAATACAATTTCTTTTGTTTATCATTTTTACAGGGAAAATATTTGTAATAATAATATAAAGTGAGCACTATACACTGTCTTCTGTGTTGTAAATAGAAATTAAATATTTGAAAATGAAGAAAAACATCCAAAATATTTAATAAATTTCAATTGGTATTGTATTGTTTAACAGTACGATTAAAACTGTGATTAATTGTGATTAATTTTTTTTTAGTTAATTGCGTCAGTTAACTGAGATTAATCGACAGCCCTAATTTTTATGCATTTGAGTACATTTCTTCCTAAGAAAAACTTGGCAGCACAGATAGTGGAGATAAGCAGTTGGTTGTAAATCATGATCAACATGCTACTCATTGGAAAGTTCCCTCCTTTTAGGGATTAACTTGTGAAGAAGAAATAAAGCCAGAAAATTCAGCTGTGGTTATTTGAAACACCAATGTCTTTGTCTAAATGCTTTTGCCAGTCTCTCTCAGGCTTTTTGCCAGACAGCACTAAATAATAGTGTTTTTTCTCTAATACAGATGGATCTTACCATAACAAAGAGTGCAGCGCCGAAATGTTTCCAAGAATGGCTCATAGTCATCCTCTTGATTAATATTTATTACCTGGAAAAATCCAGTATCGTCCATCTAGACAGAACAATAATAAAAGGATTTAGTGCAGAAGGCAAGTGGTGAGTTTTACCTTAAAACAGTTTCTTTGAATACTGTACAATTGTGTTCACGTCAGGCATTCAGAGAGAATTACATTCATTCCTAAGTGTCAGACATTCAACCCCTAAGCCACCCACAACCAACAGCAATTTTGTATATTCTCCAGCGTGACAAACTTCAGTGACCCTGAAAACCTCCAGAGAAACCTCCAGTTTCCCAACTACCCTTCAGCGATGAACTTGGGTTCTGGCTGTCTTTGTGCTGGGCTCTGACTTGGCACCTCCACACTGAAGTTTTGCCCTCTATTGGGGGCTGGGATGTTCCAAATCTCAGAGTCAGCCAGCTTGTGTGATCTGGAGCATTTCATTTGACACACAGTTAATTCAGTAGAAAACTGGTGAGACCTTAAATGCGTGTCCAAAAACAAGGCACTGCATACTCTAGTTTTCCAAGCAGAAGTACGGATTGAGAATAATTCTCAAAACAAAAATGCTACATTGAGTGTTTCCAAACACTAGCTACTCCTTACAAAGTGACAGGCCCTCTCCTTCAGTGTCTCCTTGAACAGACTTCCCATTGACGTCAATGGAGGGGTTCAAGGACTGCATGCTGAAACTGGGCATCAGTGACACCAGGCATCTTATTCTATTCTGAAATGGTTCTCTTTCCACTGATGTAATGTAACACAAGCTAGGAGTTATGTAAAGGGAGAGGGGAAAAGGAGCAGAAGTGAGTGACGCAGAAAAATTCTATGCCCACTTTCTGGGCTTGCTTAGGAATTTTTATTCTTAGCCAACACTGATTTGGCAGACTATTGGGTCTGATATATTTAAGAAACATGCCATGTATCCCTCAACTACCTATTTCCAAATTTCTTACTCCATGCTTCCATCTCTCACCCTTTAAACAGGACTTTAAATTACTGTAAAGCCCAAACCTGAAGCCCTTAAAAAAAATACTCTCACAGGGTGACACTGGCCCTTTAAGAGAGTGAGGCCAATGCACCTATGACTGGTCAGTTGATCCCCAATTAGGCTTAAAAGAGGGCAGCTCAGCTTTGGCCTTAGAGGGGAGAGAGACCTAGTGAGTCAGAGCTGCTCAAGAGCACTGACTGAAAAGGACAGAGACGGGCAGGTGTGAGCTGCCCGAAGAGCAGAGGAGAGAGACCGGAAGAAACAGCAGCAATGGAAAGCTGCACAGAGAGACACTGGAAAGAGGAAGAGGTCTGTGGTGCGGCCTAGCCAGGGCTGGGGAATCCTGTGGAGCTAAGGGAGAACTCATGCAGAAGCCACCATGAAGAAGGGGAAAAACCTGGCTGGTTGGGAGCAGCTGAGCCCAAAGCAAGAAGGGCTGATGCTGGAGGGTGGATCCCAGGGGTAGAGGTCACAGGCAGAGAGGCCTGTGTGAGGAGAACACTAGGGGAAGCCCCTTGCAGCAAGCCTAAGTGGAGGGCTGCAGGAAGCAGAGCCCAAAACAAGGGGGTTGTCCTGGAGGGACGTTCCCTGAGCAGGGGTAGGACTCTCAGAAGGGAAGCCTGGCTCAGTGGAACACTGGAGAGTTCTGTCCCAGGAGACCTGCCTTGCGGCTATGGGAAAAGAGTTGCGGGTCTTGGAACACTCAGGTAGATGCCCTGGAGAGTGGGGCCCTGGAACAGGGGCTAAAGGAACTGGGACAGAGTGGTTAGTGACTCTCGGCTGGGTGACTGGGGAACGGTGACCTTTGCACGGGATTGACGAGCTGCTGCGTTATAACCTTGTATAACTTTGGGGGTTTGAGAAGAACTGTTTTACTATGAGGGATCTGTGGACTGTGACCCTTTTATTAATATAAAGGGTTTGAATTTGCTGCTGAGAGACAATGTTCCTATGCACAAATGGATTCCAAGGGGAAACTGAGGTAGGTGCAGCACCCTGCTGCAGAAGGGCTCCCTGAGTGGGGGCCGTCCTACTCCACATCCCTTTGTTAAACTGATTTCTCTTAATAGTGTCTTCAACTATATCTTTATTTAGCTTCTAGTCTTTCTCCTTGAAAGAGATTACAGGGTTTCCACAAAAATCTATGACACGCTGTATTGTAAAGTAATTTTTACAATATTATCAAAAACAAAATGTTGAAGCTGTAAAATTCCAACTGATTTTTCTCCTTTCCAGCAAAAAATGCTGCAAAAGAACAATCTCTTCGGAGAACGTACTGCAGCACAACTATGCACAGAACACACTTTTAGACACTGAGGCATGGTCTACACTAGGAGGTTATGTCGAATTTAGCAGCGTTAAATCGAATTAACTCTGCACCCGTCCATACAACAAAGCTATTTAGTTCGAAATAGAGGTCTCTTAAATTCGACTTCTGTACTCCTCCCCAACGAGGGGAGTAGCGCTAAATTCGGCCATGTCGAATTAGGCTAGGTGTGGATGGAAATCGACGGTGATAGCGCCGGGAGCTATCCCACAGTGCACCACTCTGTTGACGCTCTGGACAGCAGTCCGAGCTTGGATGCTCTGACCAGCCACACTGGAAAAGCCCTGGGAAAATTTGAATTCCTTTTCCTGTCTGGGCAGTTTGAATCTCATTTCCTGTTTGGACATTGCGGTGAGCTCAGCAGCACTGGCAACGATGCAGAGCTCTCCAGCAGAGGTGACCATGCAATCCCAGAATAGAAAGAGGGCCCCAGCATGGACTGATTGGGAAGTCTTGGATCTGATCGCTGTGTGGGGGATGAGTCCGTGCTTTCGGAGCGCGCTCGAAAAGACGGAACGCAAAGATCTATGAGAAGATCTCAAAAGCAATGACAGAGAGAGGATACAGTCGGGATGCAACGCAGTGCCGCGTGAAAATCAAGGAGCTGAGACAAGGCTACCAGAAGACCAAAAGGCAAACGGACGCTCCGGATCCCAGCCCCAGACATGCAGTTTCTACGAGGCACTGCATTCCATCCGAGGTGCGGCCGCCACCACTACCCCACCACTGACCGTGGACTCGGAGGATGGGATATTGTCGACAGCCGGTTCCTCGGAGATGTTAGTGGATGGGGAAGATGAGGAAGGAGATGAGGTGGACGAGGCAGTCGACAGCACTTACAACACTGATTTCCCCGACAGCCAGGATCTCTTCATCACCCTCACAGAGATCCCCTACCAACCGTCCCCAGGCGTTAACCCGGACCCAGAATCAGGGGAAGGATCAGTCGGTAAGTGTTTTAAACATGTAAACATTTATTTTGAACAGAACATTAATATTAACAGTGGGTTTTTCATGATTTGTTTGCCCTAGGCGCTCTACTGCTTAGTCCTTGCCAGTGCAGCTACAGTAAAATTTGGTCTATATGTCCGGGGATAGAGCTGAAATCCTCATGGGACATCTCCATGAAGCTCTCCTGGAGGTAATTGGAAAGCCTCTTGGGAGAGCGGCCTTATTGTGTCCTCCGTAGTAGGAAACGTTTCCGCGCCAGGAGATCAGCAAGTACTCTGGGATCATTGCCTTGCAGAGCATGGCGGCATACGGCCCTGGTCTTTGCAGGCTTTCCCGAAGCATCCGTTCTTTCTCGGTCTCTGAAATCCTCATCAGAGTGATGTCGCTCATGGTGACCTGCTTTGAATTAGGTAGGGGAATGTTAGTATTGGGACTGCTTGCCTGTTCCTTTACAGAACTGTAACCGGTGGTTTACAGCCACGCGGTGGAGGCGGGAGAGGGGCAGCATACAGGGATCTTTCCCTGGGACAGCCGCGAGGGGGTGTTACAGGGGCAGAGTTCATGCTTGCCGGATTGCTGGCAGCAGGAACTGGCCAACGCTAGGAGCATTGCTTTGAACGTGAAAGGAGGCCAGTGCTATTATTAAAGTTTTAAGCAGCCACAAGTCTACAGCTTACCATGTCAGCCTGCTACCCAAATTCCGCTGTCCTGCCCCGCTTGTCTGATCTGCACTGCAAGACCCCAGGCACTGAATGCGAAGGCCGAAAATTCGACCTTGTCCTGAGTGCGCATGTGATAGGTGCTGTGCATGGTCTTGTTCACAGAGAAAGACTAGGTTCTTTGTTCACAACAAAATTTATCTTTCTGAGGAATTCACTCCCTTTTTCCCATCCCACAGCTGCGACTGTTTCCCGACCTACCCTGGCACCACACTCCCAGAGGCTAGCGCAGATTAGGCGTAGAAAGAAAAGGACACGGGATGACATGTTCTCGGAACTTATGGGCTGCTCCTGAGCCCAGGCAGCCCAGCAGACCCAGTGGAGGGAGAACTTGTCCCAAATCCATCGATCACACATTGAACGGGAGGAGAGGTGGTGGCAGGAAGACCAGCAGGCGACTCAAATGCTGCTTGGACTAATGAGGGAGCAAACGGACATGCTCCGGCGCCTTGTGGATGTTCTGCAGGACCGGAGGCAGGAGGACAGAGCCCCGCTGCAGTCTATCTGTAACCGCCCTCCCCCGCCACAAAGTCCCATACCCCCCTCACCCAAAGTCCCAAGATGGAGGGGCGGCAGAGTCCGTGAAAACTCTCACTCCACCCCTGCAGACTGCTCAAGTAGCAGAAGGTTGTCATTCCCCAAAATTTGATAAGTCCTTTTCTTCCCGCATCACCGAAGCCCCCGTCCCAGTTTCATCCCCTAAGTGTGTAGTTGCTAATAAAAAATACGTTTCTGTTAATTACTGTTTCCATCATGTTCTTTTAGAGGAGAGTCTGTTTGAAGGGGGGGAAGGGGGTTGGTAATTGGACAGGACAGTCACCTTTACCAGGTCACACACACATTGCAGTCACTAGGGACCCTGGTCAGTCTGGGAGGTGGTTTTCATGTTCTGTGTGGGGGGAGGGAGGCTATGTGACTTTGTGGCGGGGGAGGGTGGTTAGAGATCTTATGCAGCGGTCCTTATCCTGGATCACAAAGCCACGCAGCAGGGGATCTGTAACCGTCCTCCCCCTGCCACAAAGTCACATAGCCCCCACACACAGAGTTCCGAACAGGAGGGGTGGCAGGCTCCGTTGAAACAACCAGTCCACCAGTGCGGACCGCTCTAGGAGCAGGAGCCTGTCATTCCTCGAGTGTAGAAGCGTCCTTTGCATCACTACACTACACCCGCTCCCCACTACAGTCTGCGTCCCAGTTTCAACACTTTACCGCGAAAACAGTAATAAAGAAAACGGTGTTCATTTACAAATTTCCAGTGATTTTATTTTTAAATGTGTGTTGGAAGGGGGGTGAACGGGGTATGTAACTGGAGAGGATAGTGAACATTCGCTGGGTAAAGAAACGGGGACAGGTTCAGCTTCTCTGTAAACAAACTTAATAGTCACAGGTTACCCTGCTCACTCAGGAACCTAGCTTTCAAAGCCTCCCGGATACACAGCGCGTCCCACTGGGCTCTTCTAATCGCACAGCTGTCTGGCTGGGCGTAATCAGCAGCCAGGCTATTTGCCTGAACCTCCCACCCCACCATAAAAGTCTCCCCCTTGCTCTCACAGAGATTGTGGAGCACACAGCAAGCTGCAATAACAATGGGGATATTGGTTTCGCTGAGATCAGAGCGAGTCAGTAAGCTTCTCCATCTCCCCTTGAGACGTCCAAAAGCACACTCCACCACCATTCTGCACTTGCTCAGCCGGTAGTTCTTTTTCAGTGTCCAGGGTGCCTGTATAGGGCTTCATGAGCCAGGGCATTAGCGGGTAGGCTGGATCCCCGAGGATCACCATAGGCATCTCCACATCCCCAACAGTTATTTTGTGGTCCGGGAAGTAAGTACCCTCCTGCAGCCATCTAAACAGACCAGAGTTCCTGAAAACACGAGTGTCATGAACCTTGCCCAGCCATCCGACGTTGATGATTGTAAAACGTCCCCTATGGTCCACCAGTGCTTGCAGCACCATTGAAAATAAGCCCTTTTGGTTAATGTACTGGCTGGTCTGGTGGTCCGGTCCCAGGATAGGGATGTGAGTTCCATCTATAGCCCCACTGCAGTTTGAGAATCCCATCGCGGCAAAGCCATCTATGATGACCTCCACGTTTCCCAGGGTCACTACCTTTGACAGCAGTACCTCAACGATTGCGTTGGCTACAACAACCCCCACGGTAGATTTGCCCACGCCAAAGTGGTTTGCGACTGACCGGTAGCTGTCTGGCATTGCAAGCTTCCAGAGGGCTATGGCTACTCACTTCTGGACACTCAGGGCTGCTCGCATCCGGGTGTCCTTGCACTTCAGGGCAGGGGACAGCAACTCACAAAGTTCCAGGAAAGTTACCTTCCTCATGCGAAAGTTTCACAGCCACTGTGATTCATCCCAGACCTGCAGCACTATGCGGTCCCACCAGTCCGTGCTTGTTTCCCGGGCCCAGAATCACCGTTCCACAGCATCAATGTGACCCATTGCCACCATGATGTCCATGGTGCGGGGTCCCATGCTTTGTGACAGGTCTGTGCCAATCTCAGACTTCATGTCTTCACCGCGCTGCCGTAGCCTCCTCGCCCAATTTCTCAGCATCTGCCTCTGGAAAAGGTGGATGATAAGGTGCGAGGTGTTGACAAGGGCCATAACTGCAGCGATGGTCGCAGTGGGCTCCATGCTCGCAGTGCTGTGGCGTCCGCGCTGTCACTCACCAGAAAAGTGCGCAAACTGATTGCCCGCCGGTGCTTTCAGGGAGGGAGGGCGGGAGTGACGGTTGGATGACGACAGTTACCAAAAACCACCCTCGACACATTTTTTTCCCCAGAAGGCATTGGGGACTCGACCCAGAATTCCAATGGGCAGCGGGGACTGCGGGAACTGTGGGATAGCTGCTCACAGTGCACCACTTCCAATGTCGACGTTTGCCCCATTAGTGTGGACTCACAAAGTCGAATTACTGTCCTTAGTGTGGATACACACGTTCGACTTTGTAATATCGATTCCACATATTCGATTTAAGTAAAATCGAACTACTCTCGTAGTGTAAACATACCCTGAGTAATGAGTGCTTTAAGGGCTCGAGTCCTGCTCATCTTGCTCATGTGATCAGCATTTGGCCCAAGACAGTGTTATCTAGGGTGACCAGATGTCCCAATTTTATCGGGACTGTCCCGAAATTTGCTTGTTTGTCCTGCGTCCTGACCAATGTTAGGTCGGGACAGCGGCCAAGCACGTGGCGCTCGGCGGCTGCGGCTCTGGCGCCCAGGCCCGAACCCCCGCGAGCCCCGGCCTGCTGCGGGGATCCAGCAGCGCGCACGCTGCGCCCTGCCCCTGGCCAATCGCATCTGGGCTGCTGCCGAGCTGGTGCTATCCCGTGGCGGCCCCGGGGTGGAGACATCAGCAGCCCAGTTCGTTCCCCTGTGGGTCCCTAGCGGGATGCGGGGGCTGAGACCTGCTGCCCCCACTCCGGGGCCACCCACGAGATTGCACCAGCTGGGCAGCCAGCCGAGACGTAACTGGCCAGGGGCTGGGCTCGGGGGGTTCGCGGGGGCCAGAGACGCAGCCACTGAGCACCACGTTCTTGGCCAGCAGCTGCTTCCTCCCCCCGCTGCAGTGGGAGCTGCAGCAGCGGCTGCTCCCGAGTCCCGCCGCCTAGGTGGGGAGAACAGCCGCCGCCTGGCCCCACGGGCCGCTCCCCTACTCTCCCTCCAGGTACCACGCCCAAGTCCTGCCTGCTCGGGGCCAGGCCGGACTCACACTCACCCCAGCCCCGCGCTCCTGGGCCTCCCTGCAGCACTTGCAGAGGGAGGAGGGGTTCCTCTGCCGCCATTTTTTTTCCTCTGTCCCCCCGCCCCACTCTCCCCCCCGCATCCCGATATTTGACCTGGGTGATCTGGTCACCCTACTGGTATCCTATAATCATACTGTGGTAACTGGAAATGTCATCACAGAACAAGTTAGCTGAACAGGAACTGTATGTAACGTTAGATGTGCCAAATTGTGTTAGAGAAACATTAAAGTTGCACTGACTTAAAATAAGAAAAAAAAATAGAAATCCAAACATATTGTTCCTACAGCTATGCAAACTTAGCCACATTGCACAGATCTGCTCTTTGATTTGTTGTTGTTGCTAAATCCAGAGCAGAAATTGCTCTGTTACCCTAAAACAATGACTGAAGTGTGGGTCTCCATATTCAGTGTGCCTCAGTGATTTCCATACCAAATCTGCACAGTTTGCAAGAAAATACTTTTTCTGTCTGGCCCCTCACCAACTCAGCTTAGCTATTGACAGTCAACTTAGGTTGTTCCCATTTCACACACCGTCAATGCTAATAAAGGTTCTGCAGGCTGAATTATTCCCTCAGCTTCAACTATGCAACCCTGTTATCTTTAGATTATGTAATCAGTGATACCTCTGCAAGCCACCAGATAATTAAGAATCACGCTGTTTTTCTTCATAAGGTGCCCTGCTCTCTCTACCACTGTTATTTAAAGGATTTCCTTGTCACAAATGCTAATAGTCCCACAAACACATTGCTTTGGTAGTGAACTCTACAGTTTTCAAGCACATTGGGTTTGATTCTCCACTGCCTTGCCCCTTGTGTAGTCATTTACCCCCAGGCAGAGTGAGTGGAAAACACCACTGTTCGGGTTTGGTACTGTTTTACTGCTAGTCTGCACTCACCTTTCCACAGGGGTAAATGACAGACAATCTAAGATGTAAGGCAGTGGAGAATCAGGCCGGGTTTTCTTGAATTTCTTAAATACTCTGATTAAGCACCAAGTCCTACAGTTTTTACAGGATGCATAGTCCTTATACAAGTAGTTCTACTGACTTGAATGGAATCACTAGCATTAATAAGGACTATTCATGTAAGTGTTGCAGGATTTGACCCCAGATATAATCACAAATAATCAATATAATGGTCCAGATCTGTCTTGGGTGTAACTCCACTGAAGATAATGGAGTTACACCAAAGGATGAATGTGGCCCACTCTGTTTTGAAGGCTGTGAAATACAAAGTCTTGTTACTGAACATCAAAAAGAAAACATTAGTGGATGTCTTACCGCGAAAGAATGACTGAGGAGGGGAACATCATTCAAAGCGATAACTACTGGAACAATATCAAATGCAGCATACTCCAGAACTGCCGTATAAATAGAAAATTTATCTGCAGACGGCCCATTGCTGAAAAACACGGCTACTTTTCTCACATTAGGACCTTGGCGAGTTCGCTTGAAAACATTCCTGGCAACAAATCCCATCGCTCTGACAATATCCCGTTCGCTTGAGGATCTCTCATAAGCCAGATTATTAAGTTTGTTGAGGAGCTGATTCTTGTTGTAGAACTCGGAGAAGCGGATCAGGTAATGAGTGTTGGAATTGTAGGACACAACAGCGACTCTAGCTCCCACTGGGCAGTTGCTGTCTCTAATTTTGGTGGCATTCACTACTGATATTACAATCTCTCTCATTCTTTCAAATAACTGGGATGTGACATCCTGGGATATGTCCAAAGCAAACACTAGTTCCGTTGGATATACTGGGCATTCCGGTTTTTCTAGAAGATAAAAACAGTTGTTATACAAATCTCACAGGATAAAAAATGCAAGCTATTTTGAAGTGATTAATAACTTAATACTTAATTTTGCTTTCCCGAGATAGCAGGCAGCATTATATCAGGTTATCTAGGGACTCACTATTCAGAAAATGATACAAGGGCAGGTCGGACTGGGGTGCAGTTCAGGAATGCAATGAGACTTTTTCAGACACTGCACTGAGGAGTGTGTGTGCTGGACACAACTGCAGTCCCTGTACTCCTTCGAAACGGGGGGGGGGGGAGGGAAGAGCAGGGGGAAGCCAAAGTCATAGTCTTGCCCCCTCCCATGCCACATATATGCTTGCAAAAGTGGCTGGGTGGAGAGGTGGATTATGGAGCTCTTCCCTTCCTGTCTGGAAGATTCAGAAGGGATTGCGTTTCCTGAGGCACAATCATTCCTGGAGCGCTCTCTGTGGTAACGTGGTTCTGTACTGGCCCCAGCTCCATGCTCATCAGGCACAATGGGGCCTACCATGTCTATTGTTCTTTACTTAAATGCAACACTAAGCTGTGGAAAAGCCTGGGGGTACTTCTATGATTAAATACATTTCAGTGTTTTTGGTGACTCCAAATGGTAGTAGAGGCACATGATGTTAGGAAAGACAGCTGAAAATAAATCTAATGAACGGAAAGGAAATGGTACTCTAACCTCATGGTATGGGCCATAAAGAGGACCATGATGGTACCCAAAGGTTGTTATAACATAAGAGGAAACTCTGAGGAAAGAGAAACACCAAAATGACTTTAACAAACAAAGAGAACTGGTAGATAACATCCCGTGGGAAGAAAATCTAAAGACTAAAGGAGTTCACAGGAGAGCTGTGAAACAGAAGTTTCTCAAAGAGACGGTATTGAAGGTGCAACAGCAAACTATCTTGATGCAAAGGAAAGATAGGAAGAATAATAAGAGGACAATATGGCTCCATGAGGAGCTCTTTAATAGCCTGACAATCAAAAAGGAATCCCACAAAGAGTGGGCAAATTATTAAGGATTAATACAAAAGAATAGCACAAGTATGTAGGGACAAAATCAAAAAGGCTAAGGCACAAAATGTACAAGGGACATAGAAGGCAATAACAAGAGGTTCTAACAATATATTAGGAGAAGAGAAAGATGAAGGAAAGTGTAGGTCCTTTACTTAGCTGTGAAAAAAAGCTAGGAACTGGATGGCATCAAGAAGGCTGAGGTGTTTAATGCCCGTTTTGCTTCAGTCTTCTCTAAAAAGGTAAACTGAGACCAGATGCTTAACACAATTAATATTAACAACAAAGGGGAAGGAACACAAGCCAAAATAGGGGAAGAACAAGTTAAAGAATATTTAGATAAGTAAGACGTATTCAAGTCAGCAGGGCCTGATGAAATTCACCCTCTGGTACTTAAGGAACTAGGCTGAAGGCATCTTGGAACCATTAGTGACTATCTTTAAGAAGTCATGGAAGTTGGGTGAGGTTCCAGAGGGCTGCAGAAGGGCAAACATTGCACTTATCTTTAAAAAGGGGAACAAAGAGGACTCAGGGAATTATAGACCTAATTTCAATATCAGGAAAGATACTGGAACAAATTATCAATCAATCAATTTGTAAGCACCTAGAGAATAACAGGATTATAAATCATAGCCAACATAGATTTCTCAAAAACAAATCATAGCAAACCTACCTAATTTTCTTCTTTGGCAGGATTACTGGCCTAGTGGATAGGTGGGAAGCAGTAGACAAGATATACTTTTGACACAGTCCCACATGACATTCTCATAAACAAGCTAAGGAAATATGGTTTAAATAAAATTATTATAAGGTGAGTACACAACTAGTTGAAAGACTCTATTCAAAGAATAGTTATCAATGGTCCACTGTCAAAGTGGGGAGACTTATCTAGTGGGGTCATGCAGAGGTCTGACCTAGGTCCAGCACTATTCAGCATTTTCATTAAATGACTTGGACAATGGAGTGAAGGTTATACTTATAAAATTTGCAGATGACACCAAGCTGGGAGGGGTTGAAAGCACTTTGGAAGACAGGATTAGAATTCAAAATGACCTTGCTAAATTGGAGAATTGGTCTGAAATCCACAAGATGAAATACAATAAAGACAAGTGAAAAGTACTATACTTAGGATAAATAAAATGTACAGTTACAAAATGGGAAATAGCTGGCTAGGTGGTGGTACTACTGAAAAGGATCTGGGGTGGTAGTGGATCACAAATTGAATGAGTCAACGTGTGATGCAGTTGCAAAAAAGGCTAATATTCTGGGATATATTAACAGGAGTGTCATATGTAAGACACACAAGGTAATTGTCCTGCTCTACTTGGCTCTGGTGAAGCCTCAGCAGGAGTACTGTATCCAGGTCTAGGCACCATGGTTTAAGAAAGATGTAGACAAATTAGAGAGTGCCCAGAGAAGAGCAACACAACTGATAAAAGGTTTAGAAAAGCTGACCTGTGAGGAAAGGTTAAAAAAATGGATATGTTTAGTTTTGGAGAAAAGAAGGCTGATGGGGGACCTGGTAACAGTCTTAAGATATATTGGGCAAATATAAGGGTTGTTATAAAGAGGATGGTGATCGCTTATTCTCCATGTCCACTGAAGGTAGGACAATAAATAATGGGCTTAATCTGCAGTAAGGGAGATTTAGGTTAGATATTAGAAAAAACTTTCTAACTATAAGGATAGTTGAGGTTGTGGAATCCCCATCATTGAAGGATTTTCAGAACAGATTAGACAAACACCTGTCAGGGATGGTCTTGCCTAAGTGCAGGAGGCTGGACTAGATGACCTTTCAAGGTCCCTTCCAGTACAACATTTCTATGATTAATCTGTCACCAATGAGTAATGAGGTAACTTGGCTGGAACAGTGAGTCAATTAACTGTAGAAAGCAAGCTACCTTTTTAATGGGGTGTGGATCAGGAATGGAGTGCATCAGAGATTTGGAGGTCAGGCCATAAAATCATGGAACTGAAATAGATCTTGAGGGCAGGCAAAAGTAGAAAAGCAAATCAAGATCAGAACATTGAGGGAGAAACTATGGTTTGGTAAGATTGGGGATGTGTTTTTTGGGGAGTGGGATGTAAAGCCGCAAAGAGGAGTGGAAGGGGATGAAGATAAGAACAAATATGGAGGGCTGGAGAAGTAGAATATGACAGAATATAGCCCTTTGTCCACACCCTATACTGTATTGTAATAATCTTTGTATGAAGTATGCCTTGTGAGGTATCATTTGAAAACTCACAATTTGCTGGTCATTATTATCCCGATAAAATGTGTGCAGCAACATTGTATGTGAAGTTATAAGATTCCACTATATGGCATTAACAACATATGTTCCAAACGGAGGATGGCATACAGGTCTGTCTCAAACAAAGTAATGTGTGCTCTGCTTAATTTGCATTTAAGCAGTAATCAGAGTCATTGAGCAGGAAGGGAAACATAGGGTAATCAGAAAGGTGAGGAAAATGCAGCAGGGAACATCCTTCCTCATAGGCTCTGTCTCCTGAATCTCAGCTGGAAATGTTTTTCAAGAATGGGACTAACAATATAAAAAAGAGGAACAATCACCCCAAGACACATTCCTGGCACCAGAAGCAACAAAAGAAGCATTTGTGGGACTGGAGAAGGGGTCTTGACCTACTAAGTTTGGTCAATAAGACTGTTGAAAGCATATGATGAGAAACTTTGCTTGAATTTGATATAATTTGTTAAGTTAGGCAGTAGTAGCATTTGAACTTTATTTTCTTGTGACCATTTCTGATTTTTATGCCTCATTATTTGTATTCACTTAAAATCTCTCTCTTTGTAGTTAATAAACTTGTTTTATTGTTTTATTTAACAGACTATACATAAACTTCTATTCTGTAGGAGTCAGCTAGGCAGTACAGGACATACATTTCAAGGGGAAAAGTCTAAGACTGGGGGTGTTTGGGGATCACCCTGCAGTATAACTAAGGCTGGTAAGAGCCAAGGTGTGGCTGGCAGCAACACACACAGACATAGCTGGGAGTGGCTTCCATGCTGGAGGCTGTTTGTGAGCAGACCAGGCTGGCGCTAGAGCAGTAAAACATTATAAAGGGCATCCCAGGTTAGAGAGCAGGGGTGACATAGCTACTTGTTAGTCTGGATTGTACCCTGCATATGTCACAGAGTCAGAGAACAAAATTCATCATCAGTTTGAAGAAGTGAGGCAACACTGGAATGTGTAGGGAGTGGAGCCCGGTCTGTGTCCCTAAGAGAGACCAGAAAAATAAAAAAAGAAGGAGAGAGAACAACACAGGATAAGCAACGAGACAAAGATATAAGAGAAAGAAAAGGTCCAAAGCAGTATATAGTCTTCTTTTGTAATTGGTAATAGTAACATTCCAGGAGATTAGCTCTATGGGGGCTTTACCAATATCAAAGACAAATGATGCAAAGGATTGAGGATACTAATACACCAAGAAGCAAAATCAGAAATATACAAGGAAAGGCCATGAGCATATAAACTGAAAATATTCAGACAATAGGAATCAATGATGGATTGGATCGTAAATTTAAAAGATTTGTGGCAATTAAACTAAAAGAAGAATATATCCTCCTTTTTGGTTCAGTGCATGATCCTAACAACTCCAATACACCTGAAACTGCAAATATATGCAGACTGTGACAACAGCAAACTCATAAGTGTGAGTAGTTGTCAAGGCTGACACTCAATGTGAAGAAATTCTTGATTAAAGGAAGAATACTGGTTTCTCACTCCTGCTGTGGACGCAGCAATCTCAGGGCGTTGGTGATATCAAAACACATAACAATCACTCTGACCCCTAAAGAGAAACACTGATGGCCCCTTTCTGATCACATCTCCAATCCTCTTTATCCCACAGTGGAGGACTCAATGCAGGGCCTTGAAAATTGAGAGTATAAAAGTAGCACTCTGAGAAAGTCAATGAGAACTTCTGGGCGAGAGAGGAGAAGAAAACAATGGGGCAGGTTTTCCCAAGGGATTTTCCCTCAAAGTATATTTGCAAAGTTGCCTCCGATGCTAGGTACTTCATCAGATATTGAGGAGGACAAATGAAGTTTTAAGGTCAAATCATCCTGCAATTCCCACAAACATGAGTAAACCTCAAAGAGCCATAGAGGTAAAACCTTTATTTTATCTCTGCACAAAAGTTACTCATGTGAGGGCTGCAGGGTAAGTGACATAATTCACAGTTTTAGTGGTTAAAAGGCAAGTAATCCAGAGAGATGCACCATAAGTATCTTTACAGTAATGGCCTAAGCTTCAGAGGTGCTGATCATCCACATCTCCCACTGCATTGAATGGAAATGCAGATGTTCAGC